TGGAGAGGCTAGGGGAGGTCTGGAGAGGCTAGGGGAGGTCTGGAGAGGCTAGGGGAGGTCTGGAGAGGCCAGGGGAGGTCTGGAGAGGCCAGGGGAGGTCTGGAGAGGCCAGGGGAGGCCTGGGAGGCCAGGGGAGGTCTGGAGAGGCTAGGGGAGGCCAGGGGAGGTCTGGAGAGGCTAGGGGAGGCCTGGAGAGGTCCAGGGAGCCCTGGAGAGGCCTAGGAAGGCTAAAGAGGCCTGAGGAAGCCAGAAGTATGAAATTTGATGGTAAACCTAGGGAATTACGCTGGTACAAAGTTAGCCGTCTGGGCCATGTATATGCACTGGTGATTTTGCCCACTTTGAAGACTATTTTAGGCCAGTTATATTGTTCCAGTTGACCAAATTCTTAGCTATTTTGTGAACACAATAAATTGCCCATTTGACTATTTCACCTACCCAGTAAAGTGGTCAGAAGTTGATAATTAGTCCAGTTTCACTCAAAATTAAAAAATGTGAATTTAAAAATAATCCAGAATAAACAATGTAGACATTGCTGGCACTAAAACATTTGTTCATTAGTCATATCGCCAGATACCCCAGGCCTCCCTAGGCCTCCCCAGATACCCCAGGCCTCCCCAGATACCCCAGGCCTCCCTAGGTCTCCCCAGATACCCCAGGCCTCCCCAGATACCCCAGGCCTCCCTAGGTCTCCCCAGATACCCCAGGCCTCCCAAGCCCTCCCCAGATACCCCAGGCCTCCCTAGGCCTCCCCAGATACCCCAGGGCTCCCTTGGCCTCCCCAGATACCCCAGGCCTCCCCAGATACCCCAGGCCTCCCTAGGCCTCCCCAGATACCCCAGGCCTCCCCAGATACCCTAGGTCTCCCCAGATACCCCAGGCCTCCCAAGGCCTCCCCAGATACCCCAGGCCTCCCTAGGCCTCCCCAGATACCCCAGGCCTCCCTTGGCCTCCCCAGATACCCCAGGCCTCCCTTGGCCTCCCCAGATACCCCTGGCCTCCCCAGATACCCCTGGCCTCCCCAGATACCCCTGGCCTCCCCAGATACCCCAGGCCTCCTCAGATACCCCAGGCCTCCCCAGATACCCCTGGCCTCCCCAGATACCCCTGGCCTCTCCTTATATTACACAATATACTGTAGTGATGCTTGACATAACATTGCTTGTACAGTGATGGTTGACATGATAGTGCTTGTACAGTGATGGTTGACATGATAGTGCTTGTACAGTGATGGTTGACATGATAGTGCTTGTACAGTGATGGTTGACATGATAGTGCTTGTACAGTGATGGTTGACATGATAGTGCTTGTACATTGATGCTTGACATGATAGTGCTTGTACAGTGATGGTTGACATGATATTGCTTGTACAGTGATGGTTGACATGATAGTGCTTGTACAGTGATGGTTGACATGATAGTGCTTGTACAGTGATGGTTGACATGATAGTGCTTGTACAGTGATGGTTGACATGATAGTGCTTGTACAGTGATGGTTGACATGATAGTGCTTGTACAGTGATGGTTGACATGATAGTGCTTGTACAGTGATGGTTGACATGATAGTGCTTGTACATTGATGCTTGACATGATAGTGCTTGTACATTGATGCTTGACATGATAGTGCTTGTACATTGATGCTTGACATGATAGTGCTTGTACATTGATGCTTGACATGATAGTGCTTGTACATTGATGCTTGACATGATAGTGCTTGTACATTGATGCTTGACATGATAGTGCTTGTACAGTGATGGTTGACATGATAGTGCTTGTACAGTGATGGTTGACATGATAGTGCTTGTACAGTGATGGTTGACATGATAGTGCTTGTACAGTGATGGTTGACATGATAGTGCTTGTACAGTGATGGTTGACATGATAGTGCTTGTACAGTGATGGTTGACATGATAGTGCTTGTACAGTGATGCTTGACACAATACAATGCTTGTACAGTGATGGTTGACATGATAGTACTTGTACAGTGATGCTTGACACAATACAGTGCTTGTACAGTGATGATTGACATGATACAATGTACAGTGATGGTTGACATGATAGTACTTGTACAGTGATGCTTGACACAATACAATGCTTGTACAGTGATGGTTGACATACAATGTACAGTGATGGTTGACATGATACAATGTACAGTGATGGTTGACATGATACAATGTACAGTGATGGTTGACATGATACAATGTACAGTGATGGTTGACATGATACAATGTACAGTGATGGTTGACATGATAGTGCTTGTACAGTGATGGTTGACATGATAGTGCTTGTACAGTGATGGTTGACATGATAGTGCTTGTACAGTGATGGTTGACATGATAGTGCTTGTACAGTGATGGTTGACATGATAGTGCTTGTACAGTGATGGTTGACATGATAGTGCTTGTACAGTGATGGTTGACATGATAGTGCTTGTACAGTGATGCTTGACACAATACAATGCTTGTACAGTGATGGTTGACATGATAGTACTTGTACAGTGATGCTTGACACAATACAGTGCTTGTACAGTGATGATTGACATGATACAATGTACAGTGATGGTTGACATGATAGTAATTGTACAGTGATGCTTGACACAATACAATGCTTGTACAGTGATGGTTGACATGATACAATGTACAGTGATGGTTGACATGATACAATGTACAGTGATGGTTGACATGATACAATGTACAGTGATGGTTGACATGATACAATGTACAGTGATGGTTGACATGATACAATGTACAGTGATGGTTGACATGATAGTGCTTGTACAGTGATGGTTGACATGATACAATGTACAGTGATGGTTGACATGATAGTGCTTGTACATTGATGGTTGACATGATAGTGCTTGTACAGTGATGGTTGACAGTGCTTGTACAGTGATGGTTGACATTATAGTGCTTGTACAGTGATGGTTGACATAATAGTGCTTGTACAGTGATGGTTGACATGATAGTGCTTGTACAGTGATGGTTGACATGATAGTGCTTGTACAGTGATGCTTGACACAATACAATGCTTGTACAGTGATGATTGACATGGTACAGTACTTGTACAGTGATGACATGATACAATGTACAGTGATGGTTGACATGATAGTACTTGTACAGTGATGCTTGACACAATACAATGCTTGTACAGTGATGATTGACATGGTACAGTACTTGTATAGTGATGACATGATACAATGTACAGTGATGGTTGACATGATAGTGCTTGTACAGTGATGGTTGACATGATAGTGCTTGTACAGTGATGGTTGACATGATAGTGCTTGTACAGTGATGGTTGACATGATAGTGCTTGTACAGTGATGGTTGACATGATAGTGCTTGTACAGTGATGGTTGACATGATAGTGCTTGTACAGTGATGCTTGACACAATACAATGCTTGTACAGTGATGGTTGACATGATAGTACTTGTACAGTGATGCTTGACACAATACAGTGCTTGTACAGTGATTGACATGATACAATGTACAGTGATGGTTGACATGATAGTACTTGTACAGTGATGCTTGACACAATACAATGCTTGTACAGTGATAGTTGACATGATACAATGTACAGTGATGGTTGACATGATACAATGTACAGTGATGGTTGACATGATACAATGTACAGTGATGGTTGACATGATACAATGTACAGTGATGGTTGACATGATACAATGTACAGTGATGGTTGACATGATAGTGCTTGTACAGTGATGGTTGACATGATACAATGTACAGTGATGGTTGACATGATAGTGCTTGTACATTGATGGTTGACATGATAGTGCTTGTACAGTGATGGTTGACATGATAGTGCTTGTACAGTGATGGTTGACATGATAGTGCTTGTACAGTGATGGTTGACATGATAGTGCTTGTACAGTGATGGTTGACATGATAGTGCTTGTACAGTGATGCTTGACACAATACAATGCTTGTACAGTGATGATTGACATGGTACAGTACTTGTACAGTGATGACATGATACAATGTACAGTGATGGTTGACATGATACAATGTACAGTGATGGTTGACATGATAGTACTTGTACAGTGATGCTTGACACAATACAATGCTTGTACAGTGATGATTGACATGGTACAGTACTTGTATAGTGATGACATGATACAATGTACAGTGATGGTTGACATGATACAATGTACAGTGATGGTTGACATGATAGTACTTGTACAGTGATGCTTGACACAATACAATGCTTGTACAGTGATGATTGACATGGTACAGTACTTGTACAGTGATGACATGATACAATGTACAGTGATGGTTGACATGATACAATGTACAGTGATGGTTAACATGATACAATGTACAGTGATGGTTGACATGATACAATGTACAGTGATGGTTGACATGATACAATGTACAGTGATGGTTGACATGATAGTGCTTGTACAGTGATGGTTGACATGATAGTGCTTGTACAGTGATGCTTGACATGATAGTACTTGTACAGTGATGCTTGACACAATACAATGCTTGTACAGTGATGGTTGACATGATACAATGTACAGTGATGGTTGACATGATACAATGTACAGTGATGGTTAACATGATACAATGTACAGTGATGGTTGACATGATACAATGTACAGTGATGGTTGACATGATACAATGTACAGTGATGGTTGACATGATAGTGCTTGTACAGTGATGGTTGACATGATACAGTGCTTGTACAGTGATGGTTGACATGATAAAATGCTTGTACAGTGATGGTTGACATGATACAATGCTTGTACAGTGATGGTTGACATAATACAGTGCTTGTACAGTGATGGTTGACTTGGTACAATGTACAGTGATGGTTGACACGATAGTGTACAGTGATGGTTGATATGATACAATGTACAGTGATGGTTGACATGATACAATGTACAGTGATGGGTAACATGCCTATAGCAATGTAAATCATTTCTGGCAAGCCTAGACCAACCTTAACCCTACAACAACACTAACCAGCTTCTTTGTTTGCAGATGCGAGTGAACCGAATAAAATCCTGGTTGACGGTGTGATGCGACTACTAGACGACCTGGATTTATCTCCCGATTCGCGCTTAGTGCTGATCCTTGCGTGGAAGCTGCGTGCTGCCACACAGTGTGAATTTACGCGCGACGAATTTATGACGGGATTTACCGAGCTAGGGTCAGTGTGCATCTAGGGTGTGTGTGTATGCATTGTGGTTGGTGTGTGTTTTGTAGTGTTCGTTTGGGGTAAGTAGGTGCCTGGGTGTTAATAAACTGTTGTGGATCGCATCCTGGGGAGCGGTAAGTACAGTACCAGCGCTCTGAAGGATGAGTGAGGATGTTACAGTACTGGAGGTGGGAAGTACAGTACCAGTACTTTGAAGGATGAGTGAGGATGTTACAGTACTGGAGGTGGAAAGTACAGTACCAGTACTTTGAAGGATGAGTGAGGATGCTACAGTACTGGAGGTAGTTTTTGTACCTCCTGGTTATTATGTGCAGTAGACCCTCATATTAAACAGTAGTTACGTTCCTGAAAATGCTGTGCGAGATGAATCGTTGTTACATAAACTGAAGAACTTATGGAGAAAATTTGGTTACGTTCCTGGGACTCCCCCCCCCCCCTTCCCCCACAAAAAAAAAGCCAAATAACTTTTTTTTAGACCCATATAATATAAAAATAAAAATGATAATGCTTTGTTGGTTAAGACTACAGTGCAACAGAAATAATAATATTTACCTTAAATTGTGGTTGCTGGTGTATGTCAATGACTGTGAAGACTGGAGATGCATGGTGTGGCCCTACTGGGCTGAGGTAGATGGTTGTTGGTTGTCGGCAGAAGTGGATGGTTGAGGTTCTGGTACTAAAGTCTATGGTTGTATTGAAGTGTGCATAAATTCTGTAATGGATCTCTGGCTTCTTTTACCTCACCCCCTCAAGGGAGGTTCCTTGATGCTGGTGAGGGGCTCTTGATCTAGGGAATTGGATCTGTGCTCCAGTTCCCTGAGTTGAGCCTGAATACCTTCCACCCCGTCCTCCCACATGTGCTGCATAATCCTGCAGGTTTAGTGCTCCCCATGATTATAATAATAATAAGTTTTAGCCTGCAGTACATTATACAGGTCAGCCATCACTAATCTGGCATCATTGGGTCCTGTAGTGTGCTGGATTAGGGAGTTTGCCAGATTACAGAGTGGTTAGGTTAGAATACACTTCATTAGCGTCTCAGTAGAGAAACTGCTAAATCTTCCTCATTTTCATCACTGCTTTCTCCTCCACTGGCTTGTTGTTGTGGGTTTACAACCATCTGCACAATTTCTTAGTATAATGATGAAATTTGAGTCAGTATAATGATGAAATTTGAAATTATGCTAGCTGAAATTAGTGCCAGATTACTGATGGAACCAGATAACTGGTTGCCGGATTAGTGATGGCCGACCTGTACATTATTTCAGAAGCTTGGTACTGCCAGGTTGGAGTCAGAGTCCATTGATGCAACAAGTTTTCTCATAACTTTTTTGTGTAGTTACACTTGAATGACTTAATAACTCCCCGATCCTGTGGTTGTATTACAGATGTTGTATTTGGAGGTAAAAATACAACATTTACATGTGGGGTCACATCCAGCCAAGCTTGTGGATGAGTACGGGAATTATCAAGAATGAAGAGAGCCTTGAATGTAAGGTTCTTGATGTGCAGGTAAAACTTGACTTCAGGAATAAAGTGATACTTAACCAGTCAATAAATATTTCCTGTGTCATCCATGCTGACTGGTTTGACCTCCAAATTACTGGTAAGGTGTTTTTATCTTCACCTTTCAAAGCACGAGGATTCTTTAGATCGGTAAATAACTATGGGCCTACACTTGAAATTACCCGACACATTACCACAAAGGAGCAAGGGGAAGTGATCCTTTGCTGCCTTGACGCCTGGTGCAGTCCCCACGGAGACAGTAGTCTTGCCCACAGCCAGGTGGCGGCCTAAGCTAGGGAAATATCCCATGGGCGACGCTCCAAATTTTTTTTCACTCCTGCAAACTGAACCATGTTAAGTTAATTTTACGAAGTGTTGTATAATATTATGACTCGATTATTCAATAATGTAATAACCAAAACGTGCCAAATAAATCCTTGTAATATTAGGGTCTACTGTACTCATGTCTTGTACTCGCCTGTAATAATAATATTACTACCAGTACTACTAATACTACCAGTGCTATCACTATTATTACTACTACTACTACTACAGTACTTTATTAGTACTGCTACTACTACCTACTACTACTACTTACTGCCTTCCTCACCACAGGTGTGACAGTATAGACAAGGTCAAAAACAAGTTACCCACCTTGGAACATGAACTTCGAGACACAGTCAAGTTCAAAGACTTCTACCAGTTCACCTTCAACTATGCTAGGAACCCTGGCCAGAAGGGCCTGGACCTGGACATGGCCCTGGCCTATTGGAATATTGTCCTGCAGGGCCGCTTCAGACTGCTTAATCTCTGGTGCCAGTTTCTGCAGGTGTGTCCTGGGTGCCCCTGTGGGTTTAGTGTGAGGTTGTTCTCTTAAAGCCCCTCTATACAATCAGTTCTCTTATAAAGTTCCACTATATATATAGTCAGTTCTTTTATAAAGCTTCTCTATATACAGTCAGTTATATTATAAGCTCCACTATATACAGTTAATTCTTGTAATGCATCTTTCAGTTTCATTTATAAGAAAACGTACCACACATAGGAGCTTTATAAGACAGTACACAACCCAGACACAGCGGACTGAAAATTGTGAAGAATTTCAGTCCGAGTAAAGAATTATAATAATTTTATTTCAGCATGATGCATGTTTGTGCTCTGGAGTATAACAATTGGGTGTACATGCCAAAAGCATCTTTGTGAGCAGAGCATTTTGGGCAAACTTAAGATTAATAAGGCAATAACAGTGCAGTAATTTTGTACATATGGTCATTAGGTGAGTAAGAATGAATGCCAGAGAATTTAATATTCTTTTAGTTCGTGCTATATGGCTTTAATAAGTTTGGTAGAGAAGAATTACAGTTTTGATTATTAACCTAAGGTGGACACAATAGTATGATTAATATTTGAGAGGATTACAGATATTGAGAGTAAGTATATACAGCCTCTCCTCACTTAGCAACATACTCGTTTGCCGAGGACTTAGACTTACGACAGTGGCTCTGACCTGTATGCAAACCTAAATAATGTATATTAGAGCCGATTTCCTTTATTCTGTTTATTACAATATACAGTACACTACTGTATAAACATTTAAAAATATACCAGAAATGTTATAAATGGTGCAAAGGTGTCATTAAAACTATCAAAGATGGTTGACACAAACCCACTACCATTATAGTATGCTCCTCACTTAGTGACGAATTCGTTTACCAACGTGGTCTTAGGAACGCAACTCCGTCGTTAAGTGAGGAGAGGCTGTATTGATTATAATGTTTTACTTTTTTATTTTTTAACATGTCGGCTATTTCCCACCAAGGCAAGGTGACCCGAAGAGAAAGAAAAAACTTTCATCACTCAACACTTTCCATTTGTTCCCACGGCTTACTTAACCTGTTTATCTCATTCCAAATTTTTTTCTTATTCTCAGCAAAGTTTGCTGACAGTGCCTCTCCCACTATCATTTGCTCTCCTTTTGCACTCTCACCACTCTCTTTACCTTTCTTTTACTCTCCATATGCTCTGCCCTTCTTATATCACTTCTGCTTTGTAAAAACCTCTCATAATCTACCTTTTTCTCTTTTATCACACCCTTTACCTCATTCTACAAATCATTTCTTTCCTCCTGCACTCACCTTCCTATAGCCACAAACTTCTGCCCCATATACTAATATTGCATTTTTAAAACTATCCCATCCCACCCCTCTTCACCCCCCTCCCCCCACTACCCAAATTTGCACTAGCCTACCTTTCTGTCAATAGTTGCTTGTATCTTACCTTAACTTCCTCCTCCCTTAGTTTATAAACTAATTTGCTGTTGCCATTTTCCTTTTGTCCCATCTACCTCTTTCTCTAACTGTAGCTACAACTAAATAATTATCCAATATATCCATTGCCCCTTTATAAACATGTACATCCTGAAGTCTACCCATTAACCTTTTATCCACCAGTACATAAACTGCTTTCATTACATGCTATATCATACCTTGTATACTCATTTATCCTCTTTTTCATAAAATATGTATTACTTATTACCAAACCTCTTTCTACACACAGTTCAATTAAAGGCTCCCCATTTTCATCTACCCCCGGCACCCCAGATTTACTTACTACTCTCTCCACAACATTTTTATCCACTTCAGCATTGAGATCCCCAATCATGTTGAGCAGATGCATGTATAGTTTGTACTTATGATGGGCTGGGATAGGTTTAGGAGATAAGATGGAGTCAGTGGTTCTGGAGATTTCTGGCAGAAATTTCCAGATTTTGGGCCCTTTTATGTACATTGAGTTTTTGAAAAGATTTAGCCTGACACGGGGAACCAGTCCAGAGCTGTAACCAGTCATGTATAGGTGCTCCTCGACTTTATGATAGCTCAACTTAGGATATTTTGACTTTACAATGGCTCAACTTAAAATATCCTAAGTTGAGCCATCGAAGTCAAAATATCCTGACTTTACAATGGTTCAACTTAGGATATTTTGACTTTATGATGGTTCGACTTAGTCTCTTCAGGGCCATCATTTCCAAGTGAGAACACACAAAAAGCATTCAGAAGAACACTCATGCTGTAATAACATTGTTCATATCTACCCACAATGCTGGACAAAGTGTTGCAAGGGCAATCACTGCAACATCCTGCCCTTGTAACATCTCATCAGGATCCTAATGGAGCAACACATTGCAGTGATGCACTGTGTTGCATTCTACCAAGACATCTGTGTTGTTAAACAGGTTTAATGTTTACACTTGTGTTGCTAGTGTTGCAGGAACATCAGTCGTGTTCCATCAGTACTAACATATTCAGTCTTTAAACTTGTGTTGCTTGTGTTGCAGGAACACCACAAAAGGTCCATACCTAAGGACACTTGGAACTTACTACTAGACTTTGCCTTGATGATAAACGACGACATGTCCAACTATGACGAGGAGGGAGCGTGGCCGGTCCTAATCGACGATTTCGTGGAGTACGCACGACCCATCGTCACGGGCCATCCTACGCAAATCTAGGGGCCGGGAGATGCATTTCTAGGACTCTTATTTCAGCTCAACAACTTAGTTTTTACAAACGCAGTGTGTGGAATGTTTGCCGTTTGGAAAAAGTGAAGCGCGAGGGCCAAGGTTCCGCATTTGGCCACCAGGGTGCAGCGTCGCAAGAGGCGCGGCCTTTTTTTAATTGAATATTCGTGGAGAAATCGACCAGTCATTAAAGCCAGTGGTTTCTCGATGCTTATACGGAAAGTCCTCAATTTAAAAACACATTGGGGACCTCCTGTATATAATAATAATATGATATACACAATGCTATAATGATATACGCAATGCTATAATGATATACACAATACAGAAGATTTTCAACGTGTTTGTAAGTCGAGGACGTACTGTATAAAGACCTTTATGATTGGAATTTACTATTAAAAGAACATTATGCAAGTTTGTTATTCTCGACCCCAAGAAAAAATCACTGTGGGTTGGGGATTTGTATGGGCCTGTTGCAAGCAATGGCAACTGGCTTTTAACTTATTGCAAGGCCTGAAATATCCTTTTTTTCAACTTTATCCCATGTTGCAGTCCACTATGACATGGAAAGTGGACAGTATGGTCAGTTTGCTTGTTTACTGTAACCAGAGTCTTCTGTATTACTCTGAGCCTGTAACTAGATGCTCTATATTTTAACCCAAGGGGTGTGGAGATGTCACTGTCACCTTGTGTTATAGCCCCAGGGGTGTGGAGATATCACTGTTGCCTTGTGTTATAGCCCCAGGGGTGTGGAGATATCACTGTCACCTTGTGTTATAACCCCAGGGTTGAGGAGATATCACTGTCACCTTGTTATAACCCCAGGGGTGTGGAGATATCACTGTCACCTTGTGTTATAAACCCAGGGGTGTGGAGATGTTACTGTCATCTTGTGTGATAACCCCAGGGGTGTGGAGATATCACTGTCACCTTGTGTTATAACCCCCCCTCCCCCCCAGGATCATGCTGTCACTATCACTGTTTTTTTTTTAACCTCAAGGGACACTAAAACACATGGCTCTGTATTTTACCAGCTTGAAAACGCCAAATTTGTCCTCTAATTCCAGCCATTTGAGTTCGATCCCTGTTTGTTAGCTAACATCCTCCGATGGAACTTTGTTTGGAGACTTGCTTCTGTGCGCTTGTTTCCAAACAGCGATCCACTGAGTCCCAGGGGCATTACACAGCCAAACGCTACCACAGGTCACATTTTTATATTCACATTTGGTGTGTTTGTATTCCTCCAAAGTATAGGAATCGATGGTGTGAAAACAAATGTTTATGCGGGAATTTCTGATTTAAAGCATAAAACACCGAGCAGTGTTGAGGCAGCTCCACGTGTGTCTGCAGCCACTAAAACACCTCTGTTTTACCAGTCGTTTGTTGTTTTTCTGGTTCAAAGTGGCGTTTGTGCTGCTTGTCACACATTTTTCAATGAACTGGTTAAATATATTGACATTCAGCATGTTTCATTTTTATATTTACGTTTGGGGCAAAAGTTGTGTGTTTCTTAGGCTTTTTTGTACAAAATTTGTTTTGAGTCGCTCCTGTTTCGAATTTAAAACATTGAAATGTACACGTTTGTGTGTGTATACATGGGAGTTAGACTGTACAAGCGTGTGCAAATGTGTGGGCGTGCGCATGAACACATTTATACACTCACACACACACACACACACACACCCTTTACGATGACGTATGATAATGCTCGTGGACCCTGAAGAGAGAGGACCTAGTAGCAACCAAAGAGGCATTGCCACAAGCCATAACTCAACTCCTGCAACCCCCCCACACACACCCCACACACACCCCACACACACCCCACACACACCCCACACACACCCCACACACACCCCACACACACCCCCACAACACCCCCCACACACCCCCACACACACCCCCCACACACCCCCCACACACCCCACACACACCCCCACACACCCACACACACCCCCCACACACCCCACACCACCCCACACACACACACACCACACACACACACACACACACACCCCACCACACACACACCCCACACACACCCCACACACACCCCACACACACCCCCACACACACCCACACACACCCCACACACACCCCACACACACCCCACACACACCCCACACACACCCCACACACACCCCCACACACACCCCACACACACCCCCACACACACCCCCCACACACCCCCACACACACCCCCACACACACCCCCACAACACCCCCACCACACACCCCACACACACCCCCACACACACCCCACACACACACCCCACACACACCCCCCACACACCCCCACACCCCACACACACCCCCACACACACCCCCACACCCCCCACACCCCCACACACACACACCCCACACACACCACCCCACACACCCCCACACAACCCCCCACACACCCACCCCACACACACCCACCCCACACACACCCACCCCACACACACCCACCCCACACACACACACCACCACACACCCACACACACCCCACACACACACACCCCACACACACACACCCCACACACACACCACCCCACCCACACACACACACACCCCACACACACACACACCCACACACACACACACCCCACACACACACACACCCCACACACACACACACCCCACACACACACACACCCCACACAACACACACCCACACACACACACACCCCACACACCACACACCCCACACACACACACACCCCACACACACACACCCCAACACACACACACCCCACACACACACACACACCCACACACACACACACCCCACCACACACACACCCCACACACACACAACACCCCACCACACACACACACCCCCACACACACACCCACACACACACACACACACACCCCACACTACACACACACCCCACACACACACACCACACACACACACACACCACACACACACCACACACACCACACACACACACACACACTCACCACACACACACAACACACACACACACACCACACACACACCACACCACACCACACACACCACACACACCACACCACACAACACACCACACCACACCACACACACACACACACACACACACCACACACCACACACACACACACCACACACACACACACACACACCACACACACACACCACCACACACACCACACACACACACACCACACACACACACACACACACCACACACACACACACAAAACACACACCACACACACACAACCACACACACACCACACACACACCACACACACACACACACACACCACACACACACACCAACCACACACACACACACACACACACACACACCACACAAACACACACACACACACCACCCCCACTCCCACCCCTCTTCCCAAAAATAACATCGACCCCATAAACAGAAATTCAGCATCACAGGAACAGTGTGCCAATACAACTAGTTACCAAATTTCAGATGTCCAATACAGTCATACATTGCTGTGCATCACTAGTTGGCTCCAAGAGCAGTGATGTAACCCGGGGTGCCGACCAATTTGATCTCCCTCGTCTATTCAGTAACTGACCAATTTGCTCTGACCATTCAGGAGGCAGTCATAATGACTTAAAAATGACAAACACCTTAAAGCTGGCATAAATAACTCTCCAAACAATACAGTTGTTGCTAAACCTTTAGTCATATTTTTAAAGAATAACAAAAAAATGATGTAGGCGACGTTGCCGAGCGACGTCAAGTCAGATGTAATGACGTTTGCTGAACTGAAATTTACTCTACAAAGGTGACCTAAAGGGGAATTTGATGTAGTTCGAAATGACTGGCATATGACTGTACGTTGGACATCCGTTTCCTACCATCCGGCAAATACACTGCTGTTTTCCCATTCTTCGTTACCGTGTGATGTGTTTTAGGCATTACTAGTTTTGTATGGTTGTGCAGCAAGCTGCTCTGTAAACAGTCTGCTCTCTTATAAAGCTCTATATGCAGTCAGTTCTTATAAAGCTCTTCTGTATAGTCAGTCAGTCTGTATAACTTGTGGGTTTAGCACTTAGTTTTGATTGTAATGTACAGTCAGTCCTCTTATAAAACTCCACTATATACAGTTGAATCTTATCAAGGTTAATTTTGAGCCACAGTAAACATTGACACAGTTACCAAAACAGTAAATTAACCACTGATCCACAGCCAGGTGGACACAAAGGCTGAGCTCGATCTCTTGGGTGTGGGTAGAAGTCAGCGGCAAATTGCTGACAGTTGCTGACACTGAAAGGGAATTGTACTGATAAAGCTGAGCTGAGAGTCAGGAGAGCTTTGTAAGAGCTGACTGGTCTGTCAGGAGCTCTGACCAATTAAAAACTAATGTAGGAGAGCTGAATGGTCAAAACCACTCCAGGGAACTTTATAAGAGCTTACCAGTTAACCATGACTGGTAACCCCCCTCCCCCCCAACACAGTTATAAAAACCTACGAGGTTTAACCTGGTGTTGAAACCAGCTTGTGGGTTTACTGCTCCGATAATATAAAATCAGGTTTAACCTGGTTTTTAATCCTCTGCTGACCCCCCCATACTAAAGTTTTTAAACCTGAAATGGTTTTTAAAACATCAAAATCCCATTTTTTATGCCCCATTATTACTTACCATTTTTATTGAGGAATTTTGAGCTTGGTACCATGATACCAACAATGTTACCATGGTAGTATTATGATAACCTAATGGTATCATGATACCAATGATGGTACCATGGTAGTATTATGATACCCCTGATGGTAACATGATAACCTTGATAGTACCATGTCTACTATCATGGTGCCACACTACCATCAAAGTATCACACCATCATGGTACCACCTACCATTGAGGTACTACCCACGATGGTACCACCTACCATGGTACCACCTACCATGGTACCACCTACCATGGTACCATAACTAACACTGACCATACTCTCCTAACTTTCAACAGTTGTAAATAAAAAACATTTTGATTACTTCCTGTTTTATTGAACATTAAAACACTGACCCGGTGTTTTAATTGATCCAGTGATGTCACCAGGCAAAGCTTTTGATCTAAGGAGGCCTAGATAGGCCCAGTAGACCCATGACCTACCTAGTATGGTCCAGTAGGTCAACTGGTCCATACAAGGCAATAGTTAGGTATTCAGAAACAGTTTTGCTTATACAGTAGATTTCTTCAGTCGAATACAGAGGCATCAGTAGCGGAGATGTACAGATGTAATCAGTCCCTCGGCCTGGAAGTCTTAGTTTTTGGGTGTATTCTAGGCAAGTTAAACACACATTATAAGACAAGTGTAATTATCTGACCTTCATGTAACTGTACTTAAACAAACTTGACTGATCAAGTAAAACTGTAACATCAACAACAACCGTCTCTCGGGGAGAAGGTTCAATAATACACCAACTTGATCAACCCTTAATAAGCACCTTGATAGAAATTTAATTTTTTCAGAATATTTGACTTTTTGGGGGGTTATAGATAATTTACACACGTTATCCCCTCAAGGATGGTTCCTTGACGTTGGTGAGGGGCTCTTGATCTAGGGAATTGGATCTGTGCTTCAGTTCCCTAAATTAAGCCTGAATACCTCTCCACAAGCAAGTTTATACAGGTATACACAAATGCAGTTACATAGATTATCCATAGCATCATATGTGTAGACAACCTGGGATAACACAAAAAAGTAACTTATTTCTATTGGGGTCCTTTAGGCGCTACATAATCCTACAGGTTTAGCGCTCCCCTTTATTATAATAATATACACATTTAAAAATAGCACAAATATCCAAAAATTGTGTGATCGTGGCCTAAATAAGCTTAAATAACTAGTTCAATAGAACGTGAACTTTACTGGCCCTTAATAAATACCCAATGGAACTATAACACTTCATTTAACCTTTTTAACGCCTTTCCTTGATCCTTTGATGATTACACAAGGTAATTTACCCACATGTCACTAGTAAAGATAATTTTAATCCACATACTGCAAAATTCACCCCAAATATATACATAATTATAATAAAAAATAAGCGCTAAACCACAAAGGCCACACAGCGTTACCCCAAATATATAAAAACAACAACAACCGGACTCCCTGAAGACTTAAATAAAAACTGAATTTGGTCTCCCCTAACAAGGACCCCAATGTAACTAAACCACTTCATTCGACCTTTTTTAACGCCTTTCCTTAACCTTTTATTAGGTCACTAGAAAACATAAATGTAATCCATATTGTGAAAATTTAGAAAAAAAAAAAAAAAAACGGACTCCCATTGGGCTTAAATATAAGCAGTCTTCATCGCCCTTAACATTGACGACAATCTAACTAAATCACTTCAATTGGCCTTTTTTAACTTTTCCTCATGTATTTTTTTTGTGCTATGCAATATAAATTACATACAAGTAACTAAAAAAAATTGAAACCCACATAGTGCGCAAATTTACCAGAGCAAAAACAACCGGACTCCCATCAAGCTTAAATGAAAATAGTTGAGTCTTGGCCGCCCTTAACAACCCAACAACAACAACAACAACACAAGAAATTTTTCCTACAGTAAAAAAAAAATTTTTTTTACTCTACTGTATTATATGCAGTGAAGTACATCCTAAATTACCAGAGGAGCGAAATGAGACTACAATCCATGGTAAATATAACTTTAATGGTCGTTATATTGTTAAGGGGTTTTTAAAAAAGAAGGGGTTAAATGAAATTTAAATCAATCAATCAAAGTTTATTCTCTATAAGGGTTTACAAGTGGGGTTTTAAAAATTTTTGGTTATTGGGGGTTTACATTTATAAAATAATAATTTACAGAGGGGGCACTGGGGCACCTAGCATGGCTAGGCATTTCGAGCAAACTTTGTTTAAATTTCCCTTAAACCTCAAAATTTTATAACAAATTATGGAGTAATTTGACAAATACTAACTGACTAAATATTAGTTTGGGGGATTTTTAGCAATGTAAAATTTTTTTGTTTTGGCCCAATACAAATTTCTATACGGGAGTATCATAGGCAAACTTATGACTAGTTAGGAACCCATTTTTTTAAGTTTAAAGATACATTTTCGGGGTTTATAGCCCCAAATGGGTGAGTTAAACCACCAGGTGGTTTTTAAAATTTATTTTATTGGGCAAACACTATCAAAGTTAGTATCTTTTTTAAATGAAACGTTTCGCCTACACAGTAGGTTTCTTCATCAAGTAAAAGAAAAGTTGATGAAGCAAAGATTTTTGAAGACGATGAAATTTCATTTCCATCACCCTTAAAGTTTTGAGGGGGCCCAGTCCCTCAGTCTGGAGAAGAGCATTTTTCCATAGTATGAAACAATTTTTTTCATACAGGAACAATGCCCCTTTCCCCAGACTGAGGGACTGACCACCTCAAAATTTTAAGGGGTAGGGGACTGATTTACATCGTCTTAAAGAAATCTTCTGCTTCATCAACTTTTCTGTATTTGACGGGGAAGAAGCCTACTGTGAAAGGCGAAACTTTTTCATAATAAAATACCAAACTTTTTCATATGTGTTTTTACCTAACAACCTGCCCGGTATTTTATACCTTTTTAAATTTTCTTTAAATGTATTATTTGTGGGGGTGAAAACAGGGGGGAAAAGATGTTTTTTTTTTTTTAAGGGAAATTTTAAAGGGTGATAAAAGGGCCCCCTGCATTCTAGATTCTCGGGTAGGGTGTTCCAGTTTTTAAAGGGCCTTTGACATACAAAAATTTTTTTGAAAAGATACAAAAAAATAACCCGAAACATAAAAGAGGGGGAGATTAAAACCGACTTTTTCGGTCCGATTTGGAAACCATTTACAAAGTCACACTAACCGGGAATGGGGGCGAAACGCCTTACATAGAGATCCCCGGGAGTTGCCATGTGCCCTTAATTTCTCTTGTTGTATTTTTAAAACAATTCTTGTACTACAAACTACTACCCACACCTTTTCCCCCTGCCTAAAAGGTACCCTCCTGTTTTCCCTTCAGGTTAGGTGATTTTGTAAAGGGTCAAAGTCGGACCGAAACGTCGCAAAAGTTTTCTCTTTTTTATTTTGGGGGTTTTTTGTTATCGTTCCGGTAAACTATTGTGCCCTTTTTTTTTTTTGTTATTTTTTTGAAAAATTTTTTGAAAATTTTTAAATTTGAACCCCGGGGGAATGTAAATAAGATTTTTGGGGTTTTGGGTTTTTTCCCCCTGTGGGTTCGGCACAATTTATCAAAAAACTTTTTTAAATTCAAGGTTAATATTGGAAATTTTAAAGGTCCTGGGAGTGATTATGTCGGGGGATCTCCCCTTTCCAAAACCAAAAACTTGTATCAATCGCATCCTAGAAAATGCCCGGAATGGATAATAAAACCTTCAAAACTAGGGGGCCAAGCCCATGATGACACCCCCTTCAGGTCATTTTGGTCTATCTGGGCTGGAAATTGCACACACAAACAGCCCCCTTTTAAAGGGGCAGGTAAAAATTCCCGACCAAAAAAAGTACAGAAAAACCCAAAACAGCGCGCAAAAACCGGAGATAAAAATAAACCTCAAAAAACTGGGAGCGCTTGGGGTTTTCCAAAAACCTGTAACCCCTGGAACCAGGCGGGAGAAAACAGATTTAAACACCTGGAAAATCCTAGAGGGACTGTACCGAATTTGCACCGAAAATAAACCCCAAACAAAAGGGCAAAAGATTTGGGCAAAAACAAATCCCAACACCCCCCAAAAGGGAAAAAAAGGGGGGGTTCACACACGTTAAAGACCATACAATAAGTGTCGGGGGCCCGAACTGTTAAAAACTGCCTCCCACAAACAAAAGGGGGATTACCAACAAACCCCTGGCAGCCCTTCAAGCTGGCACGGGCCCAAGCACCTAAATGGGTTTCCTGACCACGGGCTGGGGCCCCTCGAACTTTGGTTTGCGTCCCAACCAGCAGCCCGGGCCTGGTTGACAGGCTCGATCCCCCAAAGGGGGCCGGGCAACCGGACCGGGCCCGGGGGCTTTTGACCCCCGGAACTCTCTCCGGGTAAACCCCCGGAAAAACAGAAAGTAATGTGGATGAACTGAACAGGGATTTAAGTTTGATCTATAAAGGGAGGGGGGAGTGTTGCCGGGGAAATGGGATTTATGTTTAAATTCTTACTCCCGTTTTTTGTTGGGTTTTTAAAGGGTTTTAGGTGTGTTCTCCCGTTGAACCCCAAGCACAGATAGCATGGGTTAAAGGAAATGGATAAATAAGTGAGTGGAATAGTGTGAGAAGGAAATTTTGCGGCACTTTAGTATCGAAACTTGGAGAGGATCCCAACGTTTTGGATACTATTTTTTTATGTTTTTGGAAAAAGGGGGGTGCTAAAATTCAGGTTTTTTGCCGAGGTATAGGCCTGGGAAATTTTGCCCTCATTAGTCTGGCAATTAAGTTTTGTCAACAAATTTGTTAATTTGTGCAACACCTCTCGGCTACCAAAACCATAATAAAGTGGGTTTTGTCAGTTTTAAATGTAAGTTTTTTGGCTGTCATCCAAGTTGATATTTTGATCAGCTCCCCCCTTAAACCCAATTTTTGTTGGGGGGCAAAAATTGGGTGAGAGATGACAAAAGCGTGTTGTCAGCAAAGAGAAGGGTTTTTCGGGTTTTGGGATACGTTTGGAAGTCATTATGTAAATGGGGAAGAGCAGGGGCCCCAAGGACATTTCCCCTGCGGAACCCAGTATCAAGGGGCCGTGTTAATGATCCCTGTGTCATTAATGGTGACATACTGATACCTATTTGGGGGAAAGATTTGAAATATGCAAGCGCGTGGCCTTTTAAAAACCAATGGAAATAACAAAGGGTTTTAAATTTTAAATGAATTTTAATAAAGGATTAAAGCTAAATTTCTTTGAAAAATTTTAAAATTTTTGTAATTAAAAAATTTTTTTTAAAAAGGGAAAAAGGGTTTTTTTGTATTAAAATTTTTTTTTTTTTATTAACTTAGAAACAAGTTATTTTTTTAAAAATTCAATTTAAAATTGTGATAAAAAAATTACAATATTGTAAATTTTTTCCACAATTTTTCAAAAAAAATGAGACAAATTTTTAACCCTTTCAGGGTCCAAAGGCCCCAAAAACTGAAGTGGTGCTCCAGTGTCCCCAAAAAATTTTTAAAAAAAAAAAAAAAATTTTTTTTTACAGAATTAAAGAGCATATTTTTGTGAAAGGAAAAAAGACAAAAAAAAAAAAAACTGATCAAATAAAATTCCCCAGATACAGTGCCAAGAAATTTGTCAAAAATGATGTAGTGGGGGGCAACCTCGACCCAATTCCACATACGTGGGATTAAAATTATTTTGTGGGTTTTTGTTTTTTTTTTTTCTTTTTCCCCAATTTTTTTTTTTTATTCCCACTAACATTTGGGGGCCGAGAGACCAATACGAAAATAATTAAAATATATAAAATCACTTATTGAAAAACAATAACCGCACTAAAGTTATTATCAATTATTGTTTACCACTGTTGTTTATTACAATAAACATTTAAAAAAATTTTTGTAAATTTATTTAAAGGTTTTAAACCCAAAAATTTACATATTTACAATCAATGGACATGGTTTTAAAACTGCTGGAACTTGTGGGAAATCCTTGAAACAAGGCCCCCCTGCACAAGGTACCAACATTTCCCCACACCCTAAACCGAGTGTCCCCCTTTTCGTCTTTGTTGCCCCTCCCTTTTTTTTGTGCAAAAGACAATGCAAACCTTCTGAGCAAATTTTCTTCTTAGTTTTAAGGGAAACTGTATTATAAATGATCACCTTCTCTTTCCCCAAACCTTTGGGATATCCGGGGGAATTCCCAGGGCCATGTTTTATAGCAGGGTTATTAACCTGGTACTTCATTATGATTGTCCCGAAAAACAGACAAACAAAATTCACCAAAACGGGGGTCTTTTGCCAGTCTTTTTTTTGGTACTAATTTTTATGCATTGACAATTTAAATGTCCATGAGAAAGGAAAAAGTTTCATGTACCACTTGTAACTCTTAAAGAACCCAGGCCCAACCAAAAACCCAAACCGCATGTCACATTTTTCAACCAAGCGCAAAGGTTTTCGAATACGTTCATTAGTCACTTTGATCAACTTTGCCACTGTCTTTTCATTTCCCTTACGGTAATGGTTGTCAAAAAATGTGACAAACTCTTTGTCATGCCACCATAATGCCCTGCGTCCCTTGGCAGTAAACACCTGCCCCGTCATCACCCCGAGCACCTGCGTTGAGCCGGGCCCTATGTTTACGATTAGAACGCACTGTCCACACACAATGTCCCTTTTTTCACTCGCATGAAATCACTGATTTAAAGGGCTTGTGTACCAGTTTTTTCGGGATATAATGTATGCCCCTTTCCAAGATAAAGGGGCCATCATGTTTCTCACTACTTTACCTGAGATACCCAATAAAAACTTGGTAACTTTTTAATGTTTTTTCTAACCCGGTATCCCAAAAATTCCAACACCAGCCCCCGTCAAAAATCCCCAGAGTACAAACAGTTTTTAAAACCCAAAACTTTCCTCTTGCTTGGGATATACGCTTGAAAAGACCGCCAACCTTTGGGAAAAAAATCCCAAAAACTCTCAATTACAAGAATTTTTGAATTTGGGTAAAAGTTTATGCCCGAACTTTTG